GTGTGAGAAACAGCGCTATCAGTAAAGCGACGGCGAGTCGTGCGCCTTCACACTAGTTTACGGTACGTCAAATACAGGTGCGCTGCGTGCTACGTACTGCGCATCCATTGAGTACATGACATGATCCATTGAGCGCATCCAAATAGTACAGATCGCTTGACGGAGAGCGAAACTCTCAAGTGCTCAGTCAGCGTGTTTATCAACTGAAAATCTGTGTTGAACGCCTCTCACACACATACTGGCGTGTAAAATCTAAGAATTTATTAGCCAATGGCTAATGTTAGACATTATTTAGTCACCCAGAGTAAGATTGTCGCATATGCGAGTGATTTACTCGCAATGTAGAGGGTTGTTTTATATTATTAGTAATAGAAAGGCAAACATTATAATACTTTCTTGTTTGCCATCAGCATTCAGCAAATAAGCATTTACATCATTTAAACAAATCTTTGAATAGCTAATGAGAATTTAATTTCACAGACTTTGCAAACTTAGTCAAATCCAGCTGTGAGATCTTGTGAAGTCTGCATGTGACCTGCATGACGCTTTATGCTTTTGCCCACTGTCATATTCATGTCATTTTCACTGTATGCTGTATGTAAAATGTTACCTTGGCTTTATTTGAAAAAAATGATTTCCAATGCGCACAAACTTCCCAGAATACTGAGTGCTCTGTTCGTTACAGTTTACTTCCTTTTTAATTATATTTTTATTAAATATTTATTTATTTGTGGAAAATACTTTGTCATCTAAAGTATAAGTATGTTTATTTTACAAAGTTATTTTTTAATCCATTTTCAAATGATTTAAAATTTCTTAAATATTAATTAAAATAAATACATTTATATCGGCCATCGGCCACCCTGCTTTACAAGATATCAGCATCGGCTGTCAAAAAAAAACAATATCGGTCGACCACTACTTGTGATCAAAGCTGAATTTTCAGCATCATAACTCCAGTCTTCAGTGTCACATGATCCTTTAGAAATCAGTATAATTTGCTGCTCAAGAAACATTTCTGATTATTATCAATGTTGAAAACGGCTGCTTCATATTTTTGCAGAAACTGATTGTTTTTCCAGGATTCTTTTATGTATAGAAAAGAACAGCAGTTATTTGACATAGAAATTTTCTGTGGCAGTGTAAAAGTATTTGCCGTTACCTTTGGTCAATTTAATGCATCCTAGCTGAATAAAAAAGTACTAACCCTGAACTTTTGAATTGTATTGTATATCAGTTGCTGCCTGTTTCACCTCTGGCTAATCGGTTTATAAAAAAACATATACATTTTAAAGATATTAAAGTCTTTTTGTATCTTACACTGTCGAGATGTTTGCAAATGTCTCCATGAATGCAAGATTTAGTAAGATGGTTTTGTTATTTTGCAGGAACCCATCTCTAAAGCAGCAGCTCTTCTCTTACGCAATCCTGGGCTTTGCTCTGTCTGAAGCCATGGGGCTCTTCTGTTTGATGGTTGCTTTCTTGATCCTTTTCGCCATGTAAAAATCTGCTAGTTACGTGAATGCATTTAGTACAGCTGTGACTACATGTTTTTGCTGTTGCTACCAAAATGTCTGCTGCTGGTCTCTGTAAAAGAAAAATGTATGAATATAAAGTCCACTCTTTTAAAACAAATCATGTAACAATTAAAAATGGTTTAACTATTTAAATCGCCCAATCCTGTTCATGCTCATTGAATGAGGACGACAACAGCTCCATCGGTGCTGCTGGAATAGCAAGCTGAAGCTCACCATGGAAATAAAGAGCCTGATAGCACGTTCTGTGCATCAGAATAGGGATGTTGTGAGTGGCTGTAGACTGTAAGCGTCCATTCAGGTGTTTTCAGGGGTTAAACTGCTGGTCAATAGTATGACTAAATTTATAGCAGGTGGTTGAAAGCCAATTAAAACCTCTATTGCTTTTGTAAATTGCATTAATTAAATTTAGATCACAGTTTACCGTATTTTGGTGTTGTCTATTTATTTTAATTCGCACAATATTACTTTACACCGTGTTCATGGTTTACCAACGTGTAACAAAATACGCTTAAGATGTTTCTAACCTTGTGAAGAGAATTACAGTGAAACATATTTTGCTTATGCACAAGTATCATGCATTACATTAAAAAGCCATGCGTTAAATCTGATATAAACCAAGTTTCAATTTTGAAAACCAAAGCAAGAGCTCATCACTCGCGAGATGTCAAGTGTGCGTTCACTCTGTAGGGGTCAGCAGAGCGTTCATTTATCGCGAGATTAGAGTTTAAAGGGCTTGGCTCTGGGTCAAGCGGATTGCCTAATTATCGCGAGATTTTCGGCTCTTAAGGATTCAGCGGTTCCCAACTCTCGCGAGAGGTGGTATAAGTGGGCTTTGGCTCTTCAGGGTTCAGCCTGCGGGTGAGTAAGCGCATCAGTGCACTGTCATTATAAGCAAACACGCCTTTTAAAACGAGCTTTCGGGTGACTAGCAGAATAGTCTGAATATGTAACGCGGTGAAATGCAGTTTCATGACGCATTCAGAGCTTGTCGGTGTTTCTTTGTTATTAATATGGCGACGCATGCTAACACCTAGCTGAGGTCCCATTGAAATGAATGAGAGATGAGGCTAAGCATTGATTAGTCTGCTGAGACTGATGTAAACAATCTGTTTAGTGTTGATGCAGTCCAGTTGTCGCTGGAAATACATTAAAGACATGCAGGTTTGTGGTTAAAGACACGCGCTTTGAGTTGAGCTCTGAGAATATAGATATATAAGTTATTTAGAGGGATATAAAGCTTAAGGTGACAATAGGTTGTGCTGTTATTATCAGTGAGCATCAGCCTGATCGTTACAGCCCATTTCATTACTGTGTGTGAGTTATTGAGTGGTTTAATAAACACATAGAGGCCAATGTCAAGCGTGTAAATTTATATTATACAGATAGCGTTGCATAATCATAGTTATTAATCTTATAAAACCCTTATCTATGTCCTGTCAAACATGCTTTGATAACTTAATCAGACGCAACCCAAATCATTCAGCTTTTAGTAGTGCAGAATAATAGTCATTATTGCACGTGGTTATAGATATTGAATAATGCTGATTGATATATAAATCATGTACTTGTGTTCTTAGGTGTGGTCTTAAGTCATTATGTTGTTGATTAATGACAGATTGCAAGTTTGACTTTTTTCATGTTGCCAGGTGGCGGACTGAAGCTGTGAATATGAGTGATGATAAACCATTCCTCTGCACCGCTCCTGGCTGCGGACAGGCATGTGATCACTGCTACACACTTAAAGCACTAACAGATATTTAAAAAATATTACCTGCTTGCTTTTTGTCCAGTTACAGTTTCATATTACTATTTATGGTTCATGCATCTCCATAATGACTGTCTGTCTGCAACAGCGATTCACAAATGAAGACCACCTGGCGGTGCATAAACACAAGCATGAGATGACCCTGAGATTTGGTCCAGCACGCAATGACAGTGTCATCATCGCTGGTGAGTCTGAAAAGTCAGCGGTTCTTAATGAAAGCAAATGAACATGAACTCTTATTGTTCATGGGTTTATGGCTTTATGGGCTACTGTTGCAGACCAGACACCGACACCGACCCGCTTCTTGAAGAACTGCGAGGAGGTCGGGCTGTTTAACGAGCTCACCAGCCCGTTCGAGCAAGACTTTAAAAAGGCCACGGAGGATGACATTAAAAAGGTAAAGATGTCAGTTTGTTCTGGAGTTTATAGTTCAGCTGTGTTATCATTTTGCAAATAAACTGTCATTTAAAGGTTTGGGGTTGGTAAGATTTTTTAAAATGTTTTGAGAGACGTCTCTTCTGCTCACCAAGAAAAATTCAGTAAAAACCGTTGTGCTGCTTAATATTTTGTGACATTGTCACTTTTAAGCAAATGAATGAGTCCTTGCTCGATAAAAGGGGTTTTACTGACCCCAAACCTTTGAATGGAAGCTTAGGTGAAAGTTTCATAGGCACTGTAACATAAAAGGCCTCAAAGATAAAATCAAATCAAAATAGACCCCATTAGGATTGTTACAAAAAAAAATAAAATATATATATATACAGTGGGTACGGAAAGTATTCAGACCCCCTTCAATTTTTCACTCTTTGTTATATTGCA